GTGGGTATAAGGACACATATTTAATATCTTAATCAATAAAAAAATATATATATTAAAAAAAGAAAAAGAAAATAGGTATAATTTTGGTTCATTCACAACAGACAGCTATTGTTATATTGGCTCCCGGGGTCCAGCCCCGGGGGTCCAGGGGTTCCCAAAGGTGTGGACGGAGTCAGCGAGGGAGCGTCATAAGGTCATGCCTAATTATGCTTAAGAGGACTGTGCCCTCTAAGCTGGGACTTGTTTGTGACTTTGCCAACAGGTCAGTCCGAGGTTTAACCCTATAGCGGCTCCCCACAATTGGCTATTGTCATTTTTTAATTTGACAATCTAAGGGACAGAGATCAGTGCCCCTGACTAAATAGTCAGGTACTGAATGTTTTAAAAATTCCTGCAGCACACTGGTTGAAAATCGCTGCCCTAAGGACAGGAGAGCATGTGGGAAAGCATTGTATCCCCAGTTTTGTATAGCTCAATTCCTCTGGAATTACTGTTCCCTGAAACATAGCTTTTGAGATTTATATGTAATATGCCCTTTAAAAAAAATCTTTATTTTGAAATAATTTCATGCTCACAGAAAAGTTACAAAATGTTACAAGAAAATTTTTTCTGTACCCTTCACTCAGACTCCCCAGATGTTAATATTTTATAATTTGGATTATTATTCTCTTTGTCTTTAGATTTATTTTTTTCCTCAGAAATGTTTGAGAATAAGCTACAGACATGATACATTGAATCACTTTAGTATAATTATCAAATTAAGAAATTAACATTGATAAACACTATTACTATAGACTTATCATGTTTCATCAAATATTCCACTAATAATATTTACAGCAAAAGAAAACCTTTTTTTTTAGTTTTTGGGTCACATCTTGCATTTATTTGTCATGTCTTTTTTCTTTCTTGTTAATTCTCACCTGAGGACATATTTTCCATTGATTTTTTAGAGAGAGAGGATGGGGGTAGAGAGAGAGAAACATCAACATGAGAGAGACACATCGATCTGTTGCCTCCTGCATGCACCCCTACCGGGGCTGGGGATCGAACCTGCAACCCAGGTATGTGCCCTTGACAGGGAATCAAACCCAAGACCCTTTAGTCTACTTAATCTAGAATAACTTCTCAGTCTTTTATGATCTTGACATTGTTAAAGAGTACAAGATGGCGAATTTATAGATGTACCTCAATGTGGATCTTTCTGACACTTCCTCATGATGAGAATCATGTTATGCATTTAGGCAGTAAATAGCAGCTAAGATATAACTTCTGTCAGGAGACATAGGTGTTAATTGGTTTCATAATTGGTGATGTTGACTTTGGTCACTTGGTAAAGACTATGTCATGCTTTCCCACTGTAAAGTTATTATTTCTTCCTATTAAATAATAATTTTTAAAAACAGATATCGCATCATTATGACTCACAGAGAAAAAATTAACCCATGTCAAAGATTTTATTTAATTCATTATTAATTAATCAGTAAGGTGTTAGAACCAGTTCAGGGGAGAACCCAAAGAATATATACATTTAAAATCAGTATTATTGATATGAATGGGCAAACAGAGGTATAATTGACTTCGTCTACAATGGGCAAGAAAAGTTAATTGAATCTCTACTGGACATAATTTTATGCAAGTCCATAGACAATAATTATTTTGCATTGCTATCAGTTCTCTATAATTTGCAGAGTTATGGATAGCTTAAAGGCAGTGAAAGACTATAGTCAGATATCAGTGTGCTCTAGATCAGGCATAGTTTAAATACCTGTAACCCAAATCTAGCCCACCACATGGTTTTATACAGCCTTGAAGAGACAGCCTGGGGCGGGGGGCAGGAACAGGTTCAAAGGGGTCAATTGGGGAGGGAAGGGAGACATATGTAATACTTTCAACAATAAATATTAAAATAAATTATTAATAATTTTAAAAGAATTGGTTTTACAAATGAACATTTGTAATTGATTTGGTAATAGGGAACACTATCTTTGAATCCCAATTAAGTTGTTTTCCTTAATCCACTCCCTTTCCAAATTCCATTCTTTTCATTAGCCTGATATTACCAAAAAACTGTACTCAATTGCTTTTGTATTTTGACTTTTGTCAAGATAATATTTGGAAACTTGTTTTCCTATATTGTATATGCATATCCACCTAATATCCTCAATTATGCCACTTAACTCACAAAGCCTAAATATCTGGCTAGTAAATATGTTCCTCTTATCTTCTTTTGCTTTACCTTCATTTCATACAAAAATGTAATGACATCAAGAAGGTGGGTCATCTGTCCTGGCTGGTGTGACTCAGTTGGTTGGAGCATCGACCCATACACCAAAAAGGTGGCTGGTTCGATTCCCAGTCAGGGCACATACTCTGATTGGGACACATGTGAGAGGCAACAGTTTTTTAAAAAAGAAGATGGCTCATCCTACTAAAGTACTGATACCAGTTTTTTTAAACCTTTTAAATGGAAGCCTAGGAGACATGGAGGAAAATGCAGGGGTCTCTGGCAAACAGCTTGAGTTGTAGCTCTGTTCTGACAGCATTGAAGACTCAGCCCCTCGGAGCAGTCTGTGGTGCCTTGTTCAGCCCTTAAACAGCTGTGCTAGTTCTATCTTGCTGTTTTCTGTATGTCAGAGCCAGTAGACAGTTATTTCCCCCAAGGCGCTGGAATCATGAAAGATTTGTGCAATTTGTGTTATTAGGGAAGAATTAGCTTTCTTTCTTTTCAATTCATCAAAGGGAAAAAAATTCATCAAAGGGTACATACATGTCACAGATGTAAAGATCTGGCATGGTATTTTTTCATTAAGTTTTTACAGTTGCTACAAGATTGAGGTTATAGAATAGACTTTTAAAGTGCCTTATATCATCAAATTCCCTATTCTTAACTGTGTTATTTTGGAAAACAGCATGAGGTAGGTTGTTATGGGAGCTTTTTGGCTAGCATTTGGGTTTTTGTCAATTTATTTATGCTTTAAACAGTCACAAATTATGGTGTCTGCTAAATTAACCCTTGGTAAAGGGATGATTAAAACTCTCTTTTCACTTGTTCATCTTTTTCCTCTGGAATAAAGACTTATGTCATGGGCGTGGTCTGAAATTTTTTTTAAAGATTTTTTATTAATTTTGAGAGAGAGAGAGAGAGAGAGAATATGAGAAATATTAATGTGTATGCCCCCACCAGGGATCAAGCCCACAATCTGGGCAGGTGCCCTGACAAGGAGTTGAACCAGTAACCCTTTGGTGAAACAGGACAATGCCCAACCAATTGAGCCACACGAGCCAGGGCTGAATTGTTTCTAAATTTGGGGGGGGAAATATAATTTTTTTTAAAGAAGGAATATGAGAAAAGTACCTTTATATGTGAAGGAATTAGAGTTCAATTGAAAGAGTATAGAGTTTTTTTATATGAATTGTCCACACTAAAGGTTTCCTCAGTTTGAGGGGAAGGAAAAATAATCAGTACATGATTATTGTCCTTTTACAAAATAAGGAAATGTGCCCAATGAGGGTACCACACTGAGAAATCAGTTCTGCCCCTGGGTTACCTGTGTATCCTCAGAGCCTAGTCTAAGGCTTAATTCCAGTTATTCCCAATACTCTTCAGACTGACAAGGAGGGAAAGGCTTTGGTCTTGTGTCATCTTGTTTGAGAGCCTGTTGAGGTGCTGGGCCCTATTGTGAGGGGCCCAACACAGGGAAAACTGCCTTCCCATCCCTGCCTCTTTTTTTCAAGGCCAACCTGCCCCTGCTGCAGCGAGAACTGCTGCACTGCGCTCGGGCTGCCAAGCAGACCCCATCCCAGTACCTGGCTCAGCACGAACACCTTTTGCTCAACACAAGTATTGCTTCACCTGCTGACTCTTCTGAGCTGCTCATGGAAGTGCATGGAAATGGAAAAAGGCCCAGTCCAGAAAGGTGAGCAGAGAAGAGCTTGTTCATCCTTCCTTTTTCTGGGACCACTGAGCTTCCTCTTTGCTTGTGAAAGAAAATTTTATTACTGTGGTTGTATATAGGTGTGGACTCAGAATGCTTCTCAAATCTATAGGTGTAACTTCCAGAGTATTTTTTTGAAATGCTTCAGATGACTCTCTGTGCCTCTGGTGAGAAACTCTGCTCTAGAGTATCCTATGTGTCCATTGTTCCAGAACCATAGAAAGAAGCTGCCTAAGATATTTTTTTCTGATATGTGAGGTTTTGTAAAAGTGTAACAATTAGTTACTAACACATGTTAATGAATCACCGTTATTTTGAAGGCTGACGTTATTTTAATTAATTCTGGATATTTCAGTATGAATGTCTACCACAGTATTTTATAGTTTGTCAAAGAAGAAATATTTTAACAGCAATGGAAAATTATTGTAATTGAAGCTAAATTACTAAAAGCCCAACCAATTCACAAGTGTATTATTTATTCAGCCTTTTTCCTTCAATCTGGCGAACTATTTTCAATAACTGACCTCCACAGTAGCAAATTTCTAATCATTGTAGAACCCATAGTCCTCCATATTCTTATCATATAAGAAAATGCCATTGTCTCCTTAGTCTCTCACTTTGCTTCATGAGGTTTAGATATTTCTGCCTTATTGTGGATGAATTTGACCTTTCTTTTTATACTGGACTAAATCAGCAGTTTCCATTATCTCTCTGGCCTCTGAAGACATTTCAGTTCATGTCTTATGTCAAACCTGTCCTTATGTCTTCCTGTTTGTGAAAATGCCTAGCACATTGTAGATGCTCAAGGATATGTTTGCATGAACACTTGTTGATGGGCTCAGATATCTACTTAATTTTTGCGCAGGAGGGAAGACAACGGTTTTGAAAGAGATACAATTCCTCCTGAACCTCCTGCCAAGAGAGTGTGTACAATCAGCCCTGCTCCTCGGCACAGTCCTGCCCTCAGTGTGCCCCTGATGAATCCTGGGGGCCAGTTCCATCCTACACCTCCACCTCTTCAGCACTACACCTTAGAAGATATTGCAACTTCCCACCTATATCGTGAACCCAACAAGATGTTAGAACACCGAGAAGTTCGTGATAGACACCACAATCTTAGTAAGTGACGTAAACCTTTTTCTTTTGTTTTTTTGTCTTTCATAATCTATTTATAGGAGTTCTAAAATATATTCTCAATGGTAATTTTTTGGGAGTGGTTTTATGTCATTTTGTGGCTACCACACTCTGTTGTGAATCATTGCCTTCGTAGCGTGCTCACAGTTTGTATGAATGTGTGTGTTTACTTGATAGAATTCTATTTACTGTATTCTTCACTCTATCCTCAAATTTAATCTCTAATTTCTAATAGGTCTAAATGGAGGCTATCAAGATGAGTTGGTAGACCACCGTTTGACAGAAAGGGAATGGGCTGATGAATGGAAACATCTTGATCATGTAAGAATCTTATGTATAATTTTCATATTTATTACTTTTAATTCTTTTTTAAAATTTTCAGATAAGTGGGGTGTTTGTTTTTTTAATTTATTGTTGACAGTATTAGAGATGTCCCCCAATTTCCTGCTGTTTTCCCCCTTCCACCCAGCTCCTACCCCACCCAGGCCTTCACCACACTATCGTCTATGTCCATGGGCTATGCATATATGTTCTTCTTTTTTAATATGTTTTTATTGATTTCAGAGAGAAGAATTGAGAGGGAGAGAGATAGAAACATCAATGATGAGAGAGAGTCATTGATCAGCTGCCTCCTACTCGCCTCCTACTGAGAATCGAGCCCACAACCCAGGCATGTGCCCTGACCGGGAAGGGAATACAACTGTGACCCCTTGGTTCATGGGTCAATGCTCAACCAGTGAGCCACACAGCTGGGCTGCATATATGTTCTTTGGTCAATCTCTTCCTGTCCCCTCTATCCCCCCTCCCCCATGCCTCTGGACCTAACTTGTTCATACTTCTAATTCTTAATATCACCAATAGTAATAGAGTATGTATGTTTCAAGACACTTAACCAGAGCCACAGTGTCTTTGCAATAAAAGCTGATTTTTCTACTGCTCCCCCAGCTAAAGAGCTAAGAGTAACTCCCAAATCTTTGTGATCACTTCAAGTCTTAACCAAGTAAAGTCAGGTAATAGAGGTTTGTGAATTCAGATCCCAGCTTTGACACTTCCTATCTTTGTTGTTTCACCATTTTCAGCCTTAATTTTTATAACTTAAAAAAAAAATTCCATTCCTTTTTTTTTTTTTTAACTTGACCATAAAAATAATGAAATCTTACCATTTGCAACAACACAGATGGACCTAGAGCAGGGGTGGGCAAACTTTTTGACTTGAGGGCCACAATGGGTTCTTAAACTGGACCGGAGGGCCGGAACAAAAGCATGGATGGAGTGTTTGTGTGAACTAATATAAATTCAAAGTAAACATCATTACATAAAAGGGTACGGTCTTTTATTTTTTTAGTTTTATTCATTTCAAATGGGCCGGATCCGGCCCGCGGGCCGTAGTTTGCCCACGGCTGACCTAGAGGGTATTATGCTAAGTGAAATAAGTCAGTCAGAGAAAGATAATACCATATGATTTCACTCATGTGGAATCTTAAAAAAAACAAACAAAAAACAAATGCACAAACAATACCTAACAGGAACAGACCACAGATACAGAGAACAAACTGAGGTTGCCAGAGAGGAGGGGTAGGAGTAGGGGATGGGTGAAAAATGTGAAGGGGATTAAGAGGTACAAACTTCCAATCTACACTAATAAAAGAGAAAGATGCAAATTGACCATATCTTCATGATGCCCACCAGCCAATAAGGAGTGAGTATGCAAATTAACCCAAAAAAGATGGTGGGTTAATTTGCATACGCAGGCGCCGAGTGGCCAGGGGTGGGGTGGGATGCTTGTGTTGTTGCCAGGGCAACAACGCAGGCATTACGCACTGCCCCAGCTGCTCCGGGCCTCTGGGCAGCGTGGGAAGGGGGAAAGGTGGCTCCGGGCCGGAGGGAATGCGGTGCTGGCAGCCAGGGGAAGGAAGACCCATTCTTGCACGAATCTTCGTGCATCGGGCCTCTAGTTATAAAGTAAATGTCATGTGGATGTAATGTACACCACAGGGAATATAGTCAATAATATTATAATAACCATGTACAGTGTCAGATGGTTACTGTACTTATCATGGTGATCCCTTTGTAAGGTATATAAATATCGAGTCATTATGTGGTATCCCTGAAACTATAATTTTTTAAAATCTATTTTTTTATTAAAACTGCGGTATTTGAATTTACAGGAGGGTTGTAATAATATGTAAGGTGCTTATCACAGGGCCTGGTATATAGGAAGTGTTAATAGATGGAGCTTCTCCAAAAACAAATGAGAATCAGAATGCAAGCCCAAGTTCTCTGTCTCATTGTAAGAGAGGGTTTCCCTTCTCACTGAAAAGGGAAGAGAAGATATAGTACTGCATTAAAGTATATATACAGTAGCTCTTTGCCTCTTGAGTGATAAAAATTGTCTCTGAACATTATTTCTCTGATAACATTCTTAATAAATCGCCAGCTTCATCAGATACCTTGGTGTGTTTATGCAAATATATAAGGTTTCACCTTAGTCTTTTTGTTTTTTAAGTATTGTTTTTATTCTCATTAATTTATTTTTATTTTTTTATTGTTGACAGTATGACAGATGTCTCCTATTCCCCCCATTTACCCCCCTCCACTCAGCCCCTAAGATCTTCACCAGCATATTGTCGTTTCCATGGTCACCATAGACTTTAAAAGGCTATATTATAGTGAGAGTCTGGTTACTTCAACCTTAAAGAATCCAGTATTATTTTGAAATCCAAACAAAAAATAAATTAAGTTGTGTGTGTGTGTGTGTGTGTACACATATTTATATACGCATAATATTTTAAAAGAAGCAGTAATAAAGGCTTTAACATGTAAACTTGATATTGTGTCTATAAGACACTTAAACCTTCATTATTTATATAATTTGTTTACCTTGATTTGCAACATCAGTGTTTGAATGTCTTCAGCTCATCACTGCCTGACTTCTTCTCTGGTTCAGGCCCTGAACTGCATTATGGAAATGGTAGAAAAAACAAGGCGTTCCATGGCAGTTCTGCGGCGCTGTCAGGAATCTGATCGTGACGAACTCAACTACTGGAAAAGACGATACAACGAAAATACAGAGATGAGGAAAACGGGGAATGAACTGGTCTCCAGGCAGCACAGTCCTGGGAGCGCGGATCCTCTCAACAGTGGTAAGATGGCAAGACCAGCTTTTTATGTTTCACTTTAAAGGAAGGTGGTGCTAGAATGTGGAGTTAAAAAGGCCCAGATGATTATGAAGAGTAAATGATAAAATAGTTCAAGGACTTGGTATTTAACATGTTCAAGAAATATTGTCTTCCTCATGGAAAATGAGAATATTTGTGATCTTGTTCTGTTTTGTTTTGTTTTTTTTAAAATATATTTATATTTTATTGATGTTTTACAGAGAGGAAGGGAGAGGGATAGAGAGTTAGGAACATTGATGAGAGAGAAACATCGACCAGCTGCCTCCTGCACACCTCCTACTGGGGATGTGCCCGCAACCAAGGTACATGCCCTTGGCCAGAATCGAACCTGGGACCCTTCAGTCCGCAGGCCAACACTCTATCCACTGAGCCAAACCAGTTAGGACTCAAATCAATTTTTTAAAAAATGAGGGAGTCCACTAGCACTAACATTAAAAAACAACAATCAAATGACCTTAATTAGTTTTCACAGTTTTGAAAGCAATAGAACCATTTCTCATAAAATATTATATTTTGCAACCACAATAAACATACATGATAAGTCACCCTCCACCCCTGTGTCTTTCCCAGCAACCTCCGGGATGCCCCTTATGGTACATTTGACATGCACTGTTCAGACTGTTTTCTTCACTGCTTGGGAGTTTTTTTGTTTGTTTATGAGTGTTTAAAGAAATTTACAGGAAACCTCCTTAAATCACATGTAAGGGTTCAGACTTGCCAAGAAAGAAAAGCTATATTCTCTGACATACCTACAGAGCACTGCCAGTGCCCTGTGCATGATGGAGACAGTTCAGTTCAATTTGATACGAAAACACACACATGTAACACATAAATATCTGTAGTTATTTATATTTTATGAAGTACCTTAGAAATACATATATGTTCAAAGGGGGAAAATAAGGACACATTGATAAGTAAAAAGAAAGTGGAGATCACTTTTTTTTTAAATTTTGTTTTATTGCTTAAAGTATTACAAAGAGTATTATATATGTCTCCTTTTTTTTTTCTCCCCTTGACCTTCCCCTGGCCTCCCCATACCCCACAGTGTCTTGTGTCCATTGAGTGGAGATCACTTTTAATCTCACTACTTGAAATACTGTTAATATCTAAGGCATGCAGGTGTGTGTTTTAAAGTAAAAATTAAGCCCTAGCTAGTTTTGCTCAGTGGATAGAGCGTTAGCCTTCGGACTGAAGGGTCCCGAGTTTGATTCTGGTCAAGGGCACATACCTCGGTTGCAGGCTCGATCCCCAGACCTGGTCGGGGTGTGCAGGAGGCAAACAATCAATGTGTCTCTCTCACATTGGTGTTTCTGTCTGTCCTTCTCCCTTCCACTCTCTCTAAAAATCAATGGAAAAAATATCCTCGAGTGAGGATTTAAAAGTAAAAATTAAGTGTGCTGTTTTATAATCAGATTTTATCTCTTATCAGAATATTTTTGCACTAAATGAACATATATTTTTGAGTCTAAGTGGTAAATGAAAGATCTGATAAGTTTTTCATAAAAAGAAAACATGCCAATCATAGATAATTTCTGACCCCATGCTACTTATCTCTCTTCTGTAGATCCTCAGCGGGAATTCAACAGTAGGCCAGCAACAGGATATGTACCTGTGGAATTTTGGAAAAAAACCGGTATGTGCCTATCTGCTTAGAGGTTGCATGTACTCACTGATTTGTGCCAGTGTGCAGCACATATTTGAGGGAGAGATGGTTGTCTCATAACAACCTCCTCATAGAACTCTAGGCTCCTGCCTCTTCTCCTCCAGCTTTCCCACACATCTGGATGCCCCTCATGTTACTTTGCAGGTCAAGAATTTGGAATGCCTCCCAGCAGCCTATGCAGGTCCCTTTCACATGCTTCTGGGTCACACTCAGACATTAAGTAACCAACTCTTTCTTCCCTGTTTATTATAGTCTCTGTTTCTGGCCATGAAGCTTAATTTGTTTCTGCCTATTCTGTTCACTAGAATCTACACACACTGTGTTCACACACTACCACATTTCATTCTGCTCTTGAAAAAACTCTGTTTTTCCTTTCACCATCACTATCCCCAGCTTCATCAAATTAGTTCTGGGGAGGCCTGGGTTTCTACAAGAATAAAGGTGGGACCACCTATTGTGGTAAGAGAGGGGTTTAAATTAACCTTTCATTCTTAACATTTACCTCATCCAAATTCTAGCTGCCTTTTCTTCTTGCCTCCCATTCCTAGTAACATTTATTTTTAGTCCAATATTGTTTTTTATTTTCTTCCTAAAATAAAATTTATTTCTACAAAAAGTTAATACCTGTCATTCAGAAAGACTTTCAAGAGCATCAAGAACATAATAAACAAGTGGACAAAATATATGAACTGACAAATTATGAGAGATGTAAATACAGTGGGGCCTTGACTTACGAGTTTAATTCGTTCCGTGACGGAGCTCGTAACTCAAATTACTCGTATGTCAAATCATAAAGTGAACGAGTGAGACACGTGATGCTGGGCTGATGTTGTGGCGTTCACTGTGACGTTCGCTGCGCCAACTAGCGGTGGGGTATCTGAAGCTGGCTCGTAACCCGAATTTTAGCTCGCAACTCAAAGCAAAAATCAGCCGAGAGACAAGAGACAGCTCGTATCTCGAAAAACTCGTTAGTCGGGACACTCGTAAGTCAAGGCCCCACTGTAAACCTATTGCAAAATGTTTATTTTTACTGGCAATCCGAAAAATTACCATGCACAAGATCTCCATGGTGACTGGTGATTTTCTACTTGGGAGGTACCTTTGGTTAATTATGGTTAAGAACCAAACTATGGCATTGAGCCAGCTAAATTTGAGTCCTTGTTCTGGTCTAGTGCCACCTGTTACCTTGAATTATTACCTTGAGCAAGTTAGTTATTCAAACTGTGATTCTTATTGATCTTTAAACTTAGAGGATAAATGTTCTTCAGGGCATTATTATGTTGGCTCAATAAGAGAGACTTAACACCTGGTAACTAGTAGGATATAAAAGGTAGCTGTGGTGAGCCACAATGAACTGTGTGGATATCAAGAGTAAAGGAGCCCTAGCTGGTTTGGCTCAGTGGATAGGACGTTGGCCTACGGACTGAAGGGTCCCGGGTTCGATTCCAGACAAGTGCACATGCTCGGGTTGTGGGCTCAATCCCCAGTAGGGGTCATGCAGGAGGCAGCTGATCAGTGATTCTCTCTCATCATTGATGTTTCTATCTCTCCCTCTCCCTTCCTCTCTGAAATCAATAAAAATACTTTTTTTTTTAAAAAGTAAAGGAAGCATGGAGTTCAGTGCCAAGTCAACTCAGCATCATTCTTGCTTGGCCTTTGAGATGAAAACTTTCCTTTCTTAAGGCTGGAGCAATAAAATGCAAAGTTCTATGATGGTAGCCTAGAACACTCTGTTTAAACCTCCCTTAAGCATAGGCCACATGCAAGAGCCAAGCAACAAGGGAGTTTCCTTAGGCTTCGGTTGTCTTGTGATTTCAGGAGGGAGGTCATTTACATTGGGACTTAGGGCTGAGGCTCAAGTGCATAGTGTGTACTTGTATTTGGAGCAACGGTCGCCAACCTTTCAGACCTCATGGACCACCAGTGGTCCGTGCACCACCAGTTGGCGACCGCTGCTCCAAAGGTTTCCTTAAACCAGCGGTCACCAATCTTTCGTACCTCGCGGACCACCAGTTGGCGACCGCTGATTTGGAGTGTCCATCTTATGGAAACCATGCAGGGTGATGATGATGATGGGAGAAAGTGATCAGGAGCCAAGTGGGGTAATGGTAACTGGACACGGCTTTGGAAGTCCAGGGTTCCCAGCAACCTGCCCATTTTTCTCTACCTGAGTCAATATTATATACCAGCTGCCTCCTGTTCATTTATACCTGGATGCCCCAGAGGCACCGCAACCTTCTCTTGCCTCCACCCCAGCATTTTGCTTATTTGTTTCGTTGCATACCACTACTGTTCTTCCCCTTTACCTTCTCCTCCAGACCCCTAGATGCTGCTGATGTTGTTCTGCCCTCTCCCCTACTCTGCTACTTGCTTCTGCCTAAATTCAGAGACTGTTCTATCTCTTCTTCTAAGTTGTTATCCCAGTCTCTCAATTGGTTCTTCTGTCTTCATTTTTTTCTCCTTGCATAGAACCCTTTAGAGTTCACATTTTCTTTAGAAAAAGGGCTAAATTCCTTAGCATGAGATGCAAGACTTTCTAAAAATTCATTTCCACCTCCCATCTCAACCAGGACATATACTCTTGTAAAGCTGACCACTTTCCCCTTGGATCTCTTTCCTCTCATACTGACACCTAAGCCACCTTATACTTATCACAAACAGTTATGAGAATATAGACTATGTCTTAGTCACCTAGCTGTCCCCAGTCCCTAGCACAGTGCCCACCTCCATCTGTATACTTAACAAATGGTTGCATGAATGGACAAGTGAGTGTAAGAATAAAAGTGAACACATACATCATATGTACATCCCTGTGTGTGTTTTTTAAAAAGTCATCTAGTTTCAGTTCTGTCCCTTTTTAGAAATGACGTGGGGTGGGAGGGAAAAGATTTATCGGCCAGTTGATTTTACTGTCACTTTCTTCTAGAAGAAGCTGTGAATAAGGTGAAAATTCAGGCCATGTCAGAAGTACAGAAAGCCGTTGCTGAGGCAGAGCAAAAAGCCTTTGAAGTGATTGCAACAGAGAGAGCTCGGATGGAGCAAACCATAGCGGACGTCAAACGGCAGGCTGCAGAGGATGCCTTCCTTGTCATAAATGAACAAGAAGAGTCAACGGAGGTCAGAGTTCTATTAGTCCTGGGGGCTAGGGCTGGGGCTAGGGCTCGGGCAGCTGGAGTGAACCAGCCCACTGCTATCTTCTCAAGTGCTAGGCAGCAAGATAGAACCGTCTGCTCTTGAACTAGATGATTATAATTATCCAGTACCAGAAGGGTTTTATTTCTCAATTATACAGGTAGTTATTTATATTTTAGGAAGTACCCTAAAAAGTGGGGCAAAAGTAGATTTACCGTTGTTCATATGGAAAATAATATAATATTTAATAAATCATAATACAATAAACTATTTCGCCCTGGCTGGTGTGGCTCAGTTGGCTGGGCTTTGTCCTGTGCACCGAAAGGTTGCCTGTTGGATTCCTGGTCAGGGCACACGTCCCTAGGTTGCAGGTTCAATCCCCAATAGGGGATGTGCAGAGGCAGCCAATCAATGTTTTGCCCTCACATTGATGATTCTTCCTCTCCCTTCCTGTCTCTCTGAAAATCAATAAAAAGTGTTTTTTTTTAAAGAATAAACTCTGTGCTTTGCATACTCACAGCTATAAACCTACTTTTGCCCCACCATGTATTATATTCTTACTATATTGGTTTTAATTTTGAAAACTCACCCTAAAACCAGAGTTTGTGGATTGCGTGGTAATGATGACATTCCCCTTCACTGAGTGGGCTTAAGTACTGTGTGTAGCCACAAAGCTAAGTGTGTGTATTGTCTTTTTGATCCTCACAATGATTCTACGAGGTGGGTGTTGTTGGATTCCGATTTCACAAGTGAGGAAACTGTGGATTAGGGACTTTGCCCAGTGCTGAAGCCAGGGTACAGGAGTGAGGAAATGGAGGCCCCTGTAGCATCTGGGCTGCTTGTAAATAGGGTAGTTCTTTTATGGGTTGAAGTGACAGATGGGGCAGACCTGCCCAACTCTCCAAGACACATGGCCCAGGACTTGGTGATGCTTCTAAGAGAAATAAGACATTCTTGTACCACAGAGGATAAAAATAAACTCAATTTCTACAAATTGAGAAATTAGCTATCTTTGGGACATTCTCTTGAAGTTATAAAAAAAAACAAAAACCTGGGTATTTCAGTTGATTTGTTTTCTTTATTTAAAAAAAATTGTTAATCCTCACCCAAGGATATTTTTCCATTGGTTTTTAGAGAGAGGAAGAGAAAGGGAGAGACAGAGAGAAACATTGATGTGTCACATTCATTGGTTGTCTCCTGCACGCACCCCAACCAGGGCCAGGGAACCTGCATCCAAGGTGCATGCCCTTGACCGGAATCGAACCCAGGACCCTTCAGTCTTCGGGCCCACGTTCTATCTATCCACTGAGCCATCCACTGAGCCAAACTGGCTAGGGCTGGTTTGTTTGTTTTCTTAAACAACAGGAAATTTATTTTCTTAAACAACAGTAAGTTTATTTTCTCAATCTTTTTATTTTCTCAATCTTTCAATATAGCAGTGCCAAGCATGGCGATGTAAAGACGAAAATGTCTAAATATCATGTGGCCATCACAGAGGATGTGGAAAATTCCTTACTGTAGCATTCTATAAAAGACACTGAGTTGTGAGAAAATAGTTTATTTGATTTACCCTGTAGACTGTGCAGTGATACCAGGTTTCAGAGGAGTGGATGGTTATATTGGTGAGAATGTAATTTCTCCAAATTTTTACTTGCTGTCAGAAATGTATGCTGCATTATGTGATCAAAAGTCATTTTTTTAAATTGATTTCAGAGAGGAAGGGAGAGAGAGATAGAAACATCAATGATGAGAGAGAATCATTGCTCAGCTGCCTCTTGCACACCCCACACTGGGGATCAAGCCTGCAACCCAGACATGTGCCCTAACTGGGAATTGAACCGTGATCTCCTGATTCATAGGTCAATATTCAACCACTGAGCCACACCAGCCGGGCCAGAAGTCATATTTAAAGTTTAGACTCAAGGGAGGAAAAAGGAAATAGTTCCTTTAACTCTCCCCTTTTTTTTGTCCCCTTCTTTTTTCTTTATAATTGTTTCTGAGCAGTGATATCTTTTTCTGTTGTATTTAATTCTATATCTATAGCTATTCATATCAATATCTATATTTGTTCATATTTATCTACTTTCATATCTGTGTTTATATTTTTCTGTCTTTCTCCAAAGAAGGAATGTAACATTTTGGCTTACAGCATGAGTTCTGGATCTGGACTGCATGGTTTCAATCTCAGCTCTCCATTTATAGGAGAGTGCTTTTAAGGAGCTGTAATTTTAAACATAGTACATATTTAAAGTCTAACAGTATATCCCTGGAGTTTGTTGTTCATCCTGTGACAGGGAGCTTGGTATAGCGGAGGGAGCCCAGGACTGGAGGTTAGGAACCCATCCCAGTTGCCCCTCACACTAGCAGTGTGCCCTTAGGAGTCACTTTCCTTCCCTGTATAATGGGTGTGTAGCAGACCCTGTCCTGTTGGTCTCTTAGTTTCTAGGAAGATACCATTTGGTCATGGTTGTGTTAGTACTTCCAAACTGCACTGCACTGAATGCACTGTACCGATGAAAGGATTTTCTTATGTGGCTAACAATATACATGTGTAAGCTGTGGCAGCACCTGCTTTTGCAGAATAGCTGCCTCTAAGGGCAGACCCAGGCATCTCCCTGGAATGCTTCAGGAGGGGGATGAAGTGAGAGGTCCTCTCATCTCCACCACATGGCACCTTCTGACCTCAGTCTGGCTTCCCTGGCAAACAGAGTGGCCTAGCAGATGATTATAAGATGAGGAATTATTTCTCTTTTGGGCCAGGTTTGTGGTCATGTCAGGGAGGTCTGGGATGGGTCCCAGGAATTTTTGACAAGCCTCACGGAGCTCTGATACAGGTGGCCTCTGGGTCACATTTGGCATAAACTGATGGCCCATACTTGACAAAGGAAATTTTGGCATCCCACTTCTGACTTTCCTGGCCAGTACTTCAAAAGGTCTATAGCCTTCTCCCATTAACTGTCTGACCCAGTGTGCTGCTCCAGTTTTGAGGAATGAGTATTTGAAGGGAGACTACAATAATAAACCATTTTTGTCTTACATCATAGCCAAAGCCTCGTGATTAAGTCAGGAAATGTCACAGGGAAAGGGTACACGACAGGGACCTGTTCACCCTGGCTGCGCTGACACTTACCACAATGTTCCTGCATGTATAGACTGATCCTGCCTCAGTGGGAAGCTGTTTTCCTTACCTTGTTTTATTATATTTCATAAATTATGAAATAAGCTGTTTTAAATAGAATGGCAGCCAAGGCTTAAGTTCCAGTGCTTCAGTACTCTGCCCCAGTTTGAGACATCCTTGCAGACTTGGGCAGAGGAGTAGAAATCTCCCATCAGCTAGGGCTGCCTCGTTGGCCTGTTTCAACAGCAGCCCCACATAGACAACCACTGAGGTCCTCCCCACAAGTGGTAATGTTCTGCCAATGCATTGTTTGGAGTCAGCCCATCAGGCTCAAAAGTCTGACATTCTCTGGCATGCAGTTTGCTTGAGCCCTAAGAATTACTTCAGCTTCCTATTTTGGTCCTCTGGTATTTGTGGTGGCAAGTTTAGGCAGTCCTTAGAGTGTATTTCCTGAGAAGCCTGTTGTGTTAGACAGGAGTATACTGCCCTTTCTAATGTTCTTTGAAACTAAACTTGTACATTGAGTATAGTACAGTCAGGAGGTTCGGATTCTAGACTTTGCAAGTAAATTTTTTTTTTTTTACTCACCTGAGGATACGTTTTTATTGATTTTTATTAATTTGTTTGTTTGCTTATTCCTCACCTGAGGACATGCTGAGAGAGAGAAAAACATTGATCGATTGCCTTCCATACGCATCCCAATCAGGGATCAAACCCACAATCCAGTTACGTGCCCTGACCAAGAATCCAACTGGCAACCTTTTAGTGCACAGGATGACACTCTAACCCACTGAGCACTCTGACCAGGCTGTTTTTATTGATTTTAGCAAGAGAGGAAGGAAGACCCATACATGCCCTGACTGGTGGGGGACGTGGGGACAGAGTTAGGTTTGGTTGCTGAGGGATAAATCGTGAGTCAGTGCTTCAACAGGATGTGGGGCTTCCGCCTGCCCTGCAATGATGCTGTTTGTGTTTTCACATCCCCCTCATCTCGCTGTCCCCTAAGTCGGGGTAGGTACTCTTCCTATGTTACTCAGGAAACTCAAAGCAGAGACAGTAGAATCAGGACAAGCACAGGTATGTGTAGGTCCAAGCCCCCTCTTCTACAGGGCAGGTGATGAGTGATGACAAGCCTGCCCCACAATATCCAAGCAACTAACCGATGCCTGTGCCTTGCAGAACTGCTGGAACTGTGGCCGCAAAGCCAGCGAGACCTGCAGCGGCTGCAATATCGCACGATACTGCGGCTCTTTCTGCCAACATAAGGACTGGGAGCGGCACCACCGCCTCTGTGGCCAGAACCTGCACGGCCAGAGTCCCCACAGCCAGAGCCGGCCACTGCTTCCTGGAGGGAGGTCAGCCAGGTCTGCCGATTGCAGCGTGCCAAGCCCAGCACTGGACAAGACCTCAGCAACCACCTCGCGCTCCTCAACACCTGCCTCTGTGACAGCCATCGACAGCAACGGACTCTGAGCCCAGGCTCCTTCCCCCTGATGACCTCACAGCACAGGGCTGGACCAGTACAAGTAGCTGCTGGGTCATCAGCAAGAAGTGAAGTGGAGGCAGAAAGAGTCCAAGCCCAGCAAACATTGCTTCACAGCCTCTCCAGACACCTGCCCCAGTTTCCCATCTGTGTCCTTGGGGGAAATAGTGTGCCGTCCTTTCTGCACACAGGCAGTTGGCTGGAGCTGCCTCTTCCATGGCTTTCTGGTTTGTTCCTCTCCCAGCTGGAGCTGGCGTGGCGGGCACCTTTTCAGTGTAGACCACCAGCTCCCCTCCCTGCCTCTTGAGGCAGCAGACTATGTGCCCGGCCAGGCTGGAGGCAGCTGGCCCCATGCACTGTCTCCTGCTCCACTGTCCTCCCGCAGCAGAGGCCTGGAGGCTGAGAGCAGGCTGTAGAGAGAGTCCTCCTGACAGGGAGTGGCCCCCCTCATCCCCAACAGCTTCATGAGCCCATTTCCACCCTCAGCAGATGCCACTGATTGGCCCCAGGGGGACTTCGGGGAAGCAAAAAGCAGCACTCAGGACTCCCTTGACCCTGCTGTTCAGACTTGTTAAAATTCTCAGAAACCACAGGAAAGTCACCATTTTAGAAAAAGCACCCATAACAATAAAAAATAAATAAAACTTCCACCAAGCATCACAGATCATCTTGGACAAGGTTTTCTAACCTGCCTGGCTTCTTTAGTTTGGGACCGTTTTCTCCCTCTCTGATTTGATTTTGCTTGTGCAGAAAAGTTTCCAGCACTTGGATTGGTCTGAGGAAGAACGAGACTCAGGTGTAGATTAATCTGTTCTCTCTGAGCATTTTGGCCAACTACTATCGTCCAGTTATTGAATGGATCATCTGTTGGAAACTCAGAACCTCTTGTCACCGCTTGGCTGTTTGCACAGTCATCTTGTTCTGTGTCTTGTCTCAGACCGCGTGTGTCCAGATCACAGTGTGGATTGGTCTCTATCTGGCACCTCTGAAGCCGCAGTTGCCCCGTAAGATGTGATATGGTGTGACTAGGACTCGCCTCACTAATCAGGGCCTGGTTACTTCTGAGCAGCCCTCATGGACCATAAAGAATTCTTCAGACCTCATGGTTTCATGTCATTATACATAACTGCATCAGTTTACTGTTGGGCACACAATCTCAGATTCCCTTCTTGTGTGTTTGATACATACCCATTTTGAGCTAAGAAATTTTGTGAAATGTGAGAACCATTTTGAGAGAACCTGACCAGTTTTCCTTCCTGTCTTCAGGGAGGTTTCAAGCTATTGGCCTGGCGCTCCCAATATGACATCACCTAAGCCTGTTTTAAAGTGTTCAGAACTGCCACACACATTTTCCCCTGACTTTTCTACTCTCCACCTCCTCGCCTCCAGCACCTTCTCTCCCCACGGAATCAGTTGGGATGAGTTGGTCAGCCCTACTCCTGCTGGCACTTGAGAGCCCTGCTTTAGATAGCCACCTTTTGTGCACTGGCAAGAGTGAAATAGAAGCTCTCATCCTATAAAGGAAAAGTAATCAGCATAGGTAGCGTTGTCCTTGCTTTAAGAATTTCTAGTCCCTAATTGACCTTACCGAAGGATGTTCTGTCTTATAAAGAAACGTAATACAAGGCACCTTTAAAATACCTGTATTTCCATTGCACAAAGTAAAGTATACACAGAGAAGGAATAACAGTAATGTTACGTTGATCTGGAACTTTAAACTGCAGTACTTGTGGGGTGTTCTGACTTTAACAGGGATGAAGTCAGCACCCCTGATGGGACTTGCCTATATTTTCATAAGATACGGAATGTCCCCCCAAGGAGGTCATGGGGCCTATAAATCAGTTTACAGCAAGAGGGTGTCTCGAGGTGTTCACTGGGTCTGCCCTCAGCTCACTCACTATCTTTCCATTGGCAAATCAGATGAACACCTAGGCAGGTTCTTTAATATATAATTTTTTATTTTTTTTAAAATTGATTTCAGAGAGGAAGGGAGAGGGAGAGAAAGATAGAAACATCAGTGATGAGAGAGAATCATCAATCGGCTGCCTCCTGCACGCCCCCCACTGGGGATCGAGCTTGCAACCCAGGCATGTGCCCCTGACAGGAATCGAACCTGGGACCCTTCAGTCCATAGGCTGACGCTCGATGCACTGAGCCAAACCAGCTAGGACGGGATTCTTTAATCTGACTAGACAGGGTAGATCAGATTTTTCCTGGTTGGAATAAAGACCAAAACCAACAAAATATTATCAGAGCTCAATGTCGTTTTCTTAAGCTAAGGCATAGGTTTAGTTGTGCAGGTTCTAGCTGGCTCTTTGTGGGCTGTGGTTCCAATGACAGCTTAGTTTTCAGAGTTTTTGTGATGATATTCAATACTGCTTTGCTCATGTACTACCCAAAGTCCAAGCTGAAAACCTCGGCAGTATTTGGTCAGTTTCACACATTGGTTGCAGGCATCTGTTCAAGACTTACTGTTTAGATGGAAAGAATCCCTTTCTCTAATTTCCTGTCTGAAATTCTCCAGCTCTCTAATTGGGAGGAGGTGATGGCACTGGCAGTGTTTTGGGATGGGGTGATGGCACTGGAGAGGCAGGGTTGAGTCTGAGTTCCCCACTTGCTAATATCACCCCAGCTACCAGGTGGGGGGTTCAAGTTCAGGCTTCCCACCTTCATCTAGTTGGATTTTAAATATTTTTATATAATCAGGTTTCTTAGAGGACCAACTTTTATAGCTAATAATTGGGGGGACAAAAGGTAGAAGGTTTTGAGGTGATGGTACTGAAAGTGTTATTAAGGCAGTCACAGGCTCTTCAATGTTACCCTAGAAATCAAAAGCAAATGTGACACATGTTGACCAGTGTCACCCCAATAAATTTAATAAATTTAAAAAAAAACAACTGATACAAGCCTGCCCAACGGTCAGAGCACATCTGGAGGATGAGGCCAGTGTTGAGGGATGCTGACAAGTGATGGGACGTCATTGTCTTATCCAGTGAAGAATGGTTGCAGGAACCAGAGAAGACCAAAAGTGACCAGTGTGGGTGCGTTAGATGTTCCAAGGGATACTTGAGGGCTGGCCCCTCAGATCTTCAGTCGCCTTCTGGGTCCCCACTGCCTGCAGCATGCCTGGCTCTACCTCGTGGTGAAAACTGAGTCTGCAAGAAGTTTGTTCATTTCACCTGTGCAGGAATAGCCACCCACCTTCTGAGGTGTGAGTACTCCACTTTGGGGGGCTCTTCAGCTCCAGGGGCCATGGGCCATAAGGTCAGAGTGAGTGGATCTTTTCCTGGACAGTGCTGAGTGGTGTGTGTGTCTCAATGGGTCTAAGTCTGGAAACAGGACACATCTACCCAGCATGGGTATGTCCGACACTGACTGCAGTGCTCATCCAGGCCAGTTGGTCTACCAGGAGCCCCTCACTTCTTGGTGTCAATGTGACCATCTTCAGCTTCTAGACAGAGAATCTACACTTGACTTTGTGCAGCCTGTTCCAAAGTCAAATTGATAACCAGTGCTGTCACCTGCTTGCAAAGAGTGTAGACCTTGTTCTTGGTAGCTCCAGAAAAGATCTCAGCAAGTGGATCTGAAGGTTCATCGACTCAAATTGGAATTGTATGGTGGTGAATTCTTCAGAATGAAAACATAGGTGATGATCAGCTGGCTGTTTGTCCTGGAAATTGTGGAAGGGATTGTAGATTGAATAAATCATTTAAAATAGAATATATCTTGGAGGCTTTCTTCAGAACTGGTTTCTAGACTCCCAGGTCAGTTGACCAAGCCAACTTTCTTAAATTTATTATTTTTTAGCTCTTTGCAGAAAACTGGGTGGTGGTGTGTTTGAACCAAATGTAAGAAAAGCCAGAGGAACCTGGGCTGTTTCCACATGGGCCAGACAGCCACTGTCAGGAGGAGTCCTGCCCGGGGTGGGGTGGGTACTGGGCCAGCTGCCCAATAGGGCCCTTCCAACTCTGGGTGCCTAGTTCTTGTGAAACCAAAATGTTGACTCCCTGCCTCTTTGCCCACATGCTTTGACATGCTCATTTCCAAAGATGATGGTGCAGGTGACCTTTTTCACCGAGGGCCAGAAGGCCAGGAGGCCTGAGGGCAGCGGGCCTTGCATCCTCCCTTCCTTCCGCAGCCACAGAGATGGTGCTTCCCCTGCAGACCCCATCTGGTCCGATCCACTACTGCCCAGCGTACACTCATTGATGCTTATACCAAATAGGGCATGTGTGGCTAGTGGCCGGCAGGGACAGCCCTGTTCCTGCGTTGGAGTTGGCAAAGCAGCAGCAATACACATTAGGTGAATGGCTGAAAGAGCTGTTTGGCTAAGAGGCCTTCGGTCCACTTTCATAGCTTTCCAAGTTCCTGATGAGGCTACAAAAGCTCCATTTATGAAAGAAAGCCAATAATGTAAATACGCCTCCAAGCGTGGTTTTTAAGGGAGACGATGAATGTGAAACCACCCACAGGATGCGGTAGGGTCTGATTTTTCTGTGCTTTGTCATTTCTCTGATAGGAACTTTTGTTACTTAACTCTGTGCATAACTTATTTAATGTACTGTATAAACGAACCAAAACTGTTAAATATGTATTTAGTTTGTTCTACTTAAAGTAGTCAATAAAAAGGCTATATTCCTTTTTTGACTCAAACTGGAATGCCACTGGGAGGGAAGGTGGTAGGTGCACTCTGAGACATCTGACAAGCAGGCTTCTGCGTCCTCTCCCCATCCTTCCCCTCTTTGGCGGAGGGTGGGGGTGGAAGTGGGCAAACCTCCAGTGTTCCTTGCTAGGGCCTAAAGAGCCACCCCGAGGAATGAAAGCAGGATCTGCTAAAGAGACGGTTCCAGCCGCTAGGCCTACGGGAAGACAGCTGAGGGGCCCAGGCCCCCACTGGGCTGGCTGCTCGTGCCCATGGCTTTGCCTGCCCACCCAGTGGGCCTGTGGGTAAGTGCCAGTAACAGCTTACAGACTCCCAATTCCTTGTTAGTTTCTTCACCCTTAAGTGATTTAATAAGGAAACAACCACCACAGAAAGTTTGAAATGTTTCATGTCCTTTTTATATTGATGTTAAATCATAAGTTCTTTGCCTTCCCGTTTACTTGCTGAATGGGTTGTATGCTTTAATCAAGGCCATCATTTTCTTAATTCTTCACCTCCTGTTGAGCAATTGGATTGCTTTCCCGTTTTCCCTGTCAGCATACTTAACTGAATGTCTTCCTTTGCTTGATTTATTTCTCTGGAATAATTTTCTGGGATTTCTAGAACTAAACACTTCTCAGACTCTCGAAGCATATGTTCAAACTGCTTTCCCTGAAAGCCCACCAGTTTGCTGTGCTTCCAACAGGCCAATCATATTTTCCAGGGCTCTGAGATGGTCTAGCCAGCTTTGTGCAGGTGCACCTGTGTGTATGGAGTCTTTGGCTGTTAGTCCAGTTTCTTAGTCGGTGACCTCAGGGCTCACTTCCTAAGGCTCTGGCCCCAGCCTCACTCTGTTGCCTGAATACCCACCTCTGGCCTCTGCCCTAAACCTACTTCCAAGCAGTCTTGCCCAAGACCCTTGTTGGCACCACCAACTTCACAGGCCTCAAAAATGCATTGTGGGGTCAGTTACTAGATCTCAGAATAGGGAGAAGGGTCTGGCTGTGGCCTTGGCCCCAGAAGGCAAGGTGGGGGCTTAGTTGTGTGATCTTCCATGCACAGGGGACCAACTGCCAGTCTCCACACTGCCCAGCACTGCAACCCACCACCCAGATCAATTATAGGATCTCAGCCTTGTGACTGTCAGCTTACCACAAAAAACATTTGGTAGCCAAGTCAGGAATCCACGGTCTGCCTTAGCTCTGGAGAAAAGGATCCCAGGGACTCTAGTGATAATATAGTAAAATGCTGTGTTAAATTTCCTATAGAAATGGCAGACTGAAAAATCTGCCATTGCCATAAACACCCAGATGCCGGATAATTTTTTTAAATATTTTTTAAATCTTTATTGTTGAAAGTATAAATTTTAATGAGTGTTCTTGTAACTGCATCGCTGAGGTCACAGATAAAGTGTAGGAAATCCCCAAGGGCCAGGAAAAACTTGAGTAAACTGAAGCCTCAGAGGAGGTTGAATACAAAAAGAGGGAGCCTTGTGCTGCATGGGAGCAAAAGAAAGTCCGAGAAGTGAAGTTTGAGCAATGAGCTGCCTCACGGAAAGGAGAGACAAGGCTTTGAGCCTACTACAAGGAAACAAAAGACCGGGACCTCTCCACAAGGCTAGAGGCAAGATCACTTTGGCTTCAGCCACAATGAGAAAGCAAGTTGGGGGGGGGGGGGGGGGAAAGGCAGGTGTGCAAGGGAAA